TCATCCCCACCTCCCGCTCCCAAAGCAGGCGCTGACAGCTGGTTTGCCCCGCAGATTTGCTGCCCGCCAAGAATGGCGAGGAGCAGACCATGCAGTTCCTGCTGGAGGTGGTGGACATCCTCCTCAACTACGTGAGGAAGACGTTTGACAGATCCACCAAAGTGCTGGACTTCCACCACCCGCACCAGCTCCTGGAGGGCATGGAGGGCTTCAACCTGGAGCTCTCGGACAACCCCGAGTCCCTGGAGCAGATCCTGGTGGACTGCCGGGACACGCTGAAATACGGAGTGAGGACAGGTAGGTTCTCGCACACTACTCTGGAGAGCCTCTCCCGGGGCTTTCCTCTGACCCACGGCGGTGAGCCCACACCCTCCCCACGCCCTCGACTCTGCCTCCCCGCAGGCTCAGCTCCAGGGCTGCCTGCGGGCACTGGAAATGTCTCTGCTCAGAAACTTCAGTTACTGATGCCCCATCCGTCCCCGGCGGGCAGGGCTCGGTGCTGTTTGCAGAGCCCAGAAACAAGTTTTTAAGACGTAATCTCTTTCACTTGATGAAATGCGAGCTGTCTGTATCTCCGGGGAGCAATATCATTAGGTAAATGAGGGCATAAATGACACTGAATTTGCAGTTTTTCTTCTTTATGTTCACCAGACGTTTAATGAAAAAGAGACTGAAATCCTAGGAATCATCAATAAAGGAACCCTGTGGATTTCAGCCCATTGCCCAGAAGCCCCGCCTGGCCAGGTCCTTCTGAATCGGATAGAAATGCCCGTTTGTAATCACTTCTTTTACTGGGTGAGCTGTAGCCAGGCTCTAGAGCAAAGTCCGTGCTCTTTCAGGCTGTTTGGCCTGAAATGCTTTACATCCGTATCAGCAGAAAGCTGGGCTGGCAGCAAGCCCTGACTGCCGCAGGTACCCAAGCAGGTCAGGAATTGGAGCGATAACGGCGCGGGGGGCCGTGTCTGCCCTCCCTGGTCCTGCTCCAGCGTTCCAGGGCTGCCGAGCTCTGCCCGGCGAGCTGCTCGGCTCGGCTC